TTGTCTGGTTTTTCCATACAAGCTCTGTCGACAGATAGGGGAAGCCCACAGCCTGTCTTAGCCTCCCGATAAGTAAGGTAAACACAGTAGATAAAACGGTGTTTTCTCTACCCTCCTCCCCCATATGCCGAAAGGGAGCACTAGAATTAAATGTCTGACCCTGAAAGGCATTGAGCTACCCCTCCTCCCCATCTAGGGCACTTAGCCGGACTGGCCCCAAACTAGCATCCAAAGATGCACAGACGAAAGCTAGTCAGTAGCTACTGCCTTATTGGGACAGAGGGAGATGTAGTGAATCTGCAGGTACTAAGAGTTCTTGCAGAAGTAAGTCTAGAGAGTCTACTTCTATAGCTGTAATATTTAGCCTCACTGCCACATAAGTGTCTTAGCCTGCCCCATGGCGCTCTTCACTGAATATTTTTTCATCACTGCTGAATAGTTTAGCACAAAATAGCTAATCACTCTGCATTTGCTGTTGCTGTTAAAACAGATTAGATGCAGCGAGAGCACACTACATTACTTCCCTAGCTGCCCCACTTATGCACTCTCTAGTGGTGCTGCAAAGTTATATTAAATTAACCCTTGCACCATTAACTGGAGAACTGGCTCCTCTGAACCTCACCTAAGGACAGCATACATGCAGCATGGCTGTGCATGTCATAGACCCTGATCATGCAAAGAACTTAAACATGTGCTTCATTTTAACCATGCGTAGTGCCATTGACTTCAGTGCATACAAGCCTTCCTGAAATGGTCAGGCACATGAATAACTTCATCAAAACCACCATCTTGTGTACCAACTGACACTTCACTGCTCTATAACACCACATGACTCTTCCAAATAGGCTGGTTCCCGGTGTTCTAAAGAATAATTTACTCTGAATATCTGTCAACCACCTGCAAGTAACACTCTCCTAGTAACTACATATGCAGTCTGACCTACACAGGTAACTGTAGGCTTGATCTTATACCTAGCTCGGAATAACTTCTTGAAGTACAAACAAACAGTTACGTTAAAGCTTGGAGGTGATGCTCTTCCATGGAACACCTCACCAAAGGGCCTGTTTAAAAAACGTTGTTGTCTGGACTGCTGTGTTCCCATTCGCAGGTGCCAGCAGGAGTGTGTGTGTGCATGTGTGTGTGGGGGGGGAATGCTTGGGCACCCCAAGGGCCTGGAGCCCCCCTTGCGTCAGGATGTGTTTTGGATGAGGACGCTGTGTACCTAGGCAGACAAGCCTGGAGCCATGTGGGAGATGTGAACAGGGAAGGGGAAAGCTGTGGGGTGAAGAGTGGGCTGGGAGAGTGACTCCCGTGAGGGGGAAGGTTTGTGGATTCTGGGGCCACAGAAAGGTTTGTGGTCACGATGAAACTTGACAGAGTAAAATAATCCCTGTGTCTCCTCCAGGAGATGTTAGATCTCATTTTACAGTGGACAGAAGTGTCAGGCAGCTCCCCAGTTCAGTAGGGCAATTGTCCCTGACAAAAATTCTTGCTGGTTAACCACTACAGTAATAGAGAAGCCAAACACTTGTTTTTCACCCAACCAATAAAATTCTAGCCAGCAAAACAAGCTGCTCTGGCATTCTGGGCTGGGAATAATACACTGTAGGCCTTGGGCTGATGGCACAAGAGATCTCTATTGGTGAAGCAAACTTTTCCTTGTAAAGCTGGGAAGTGCTTATCTCAGGCCAAATGTAAAATAAAGATGGCTCCCAAAGGAATTGCAAGGGCAGAGACTAAGCATACCCTGTCTTCTGTACTGGGAGAGCTCAAGTGAATTTATGCCTCTGAGAAACCGGTAGAAATGGCTACTGAGGAGTGGGGTGGACTGTGACATTGGGTAGGTCACATGGTATTTGATAGGCTGAGCCTATAATAGGCTGCTTATTCCCACACACCAGAGCCAACTTGAAACGCTGCAAATCATGGCCTGAAATTTCCCAAATATCCCCATAGAAAACTCTAGCAAGTCATAGGCACACAAGTATACTCCTGTTCACCAAGGTCATTTGAATTCAACTGGAGCTGACTTCTGCAGTTTGAGACAAACACTGCCGCTCTACTCAAAATCCTCTGCACAGCTGCTCCAAGTAAACATCTCCTCCCCTGAAATACAAGGCCACTCAGTAACACTTCAGGTTCTTCCCCTATCGTCGCATCTCCTTGGTTGGATGAAGGTCTGACTGCTTGGCAGGGCTTGAGATACTGTTTAGTATGTGCAAGCCTGTTGGAAAAGCAGTAACTCTGAAAACGGGTTGTGCACTTAAGTGTGGCTTGCAAACACCTGTCCTAGATCTGGATCAGAACCATTTCCTGGGGGTGTAAAGTAGTGGGAATGTGCTGTGCTTGTGGACATGCTGAGGACAGGCAACACTGGACCCTGGTTCAGCTGGTCATTAGATCCCTATCTTGCTTAACTGACTAGAAAGTGCACTCTGTCGGTTCAGTACCCGCTAGTTAGCACACCAGGTGAAACAGTTGCCAGGGGCAGGGGGTTAGCCCATCCCAGAGTTGTGAGAACTCTATTTTCTTTGCCAATAAGGCTTTTGGGTCTGGTGTAGAAGAAAGACAGAATTGACAGAGCAGGACTTATCTGGATATCTCTCAAAGCCTCCGCTGGGGAAGGCATTGAGATGGCCACCACTACTCCGGGAGTCACTTGGCATCATTTAGCTCATGCTTTGAAATACATCAAGGCTTTTGCTATAAACCTCTAACCACCGAAAAACAAAATCTTGGCTCGAGAACAGTCGTTGCCTTGGCTTGTATCCTGGGACTGAGTGACTTATGTTTCTGCGTTGGTGGGAGGATTCCCCCTTTTATTTTAGACAAGTTGGGTCGCATTGATCTGAAGCCTAACTCCCTTGCAGACTGGAGTCCTTTTTAAAATAAATAAATAAATCAATTAATCAGTGACAGTCAGAACTCAATGTTACTATTTTGAAAACAAAAGGAGGGGGAAAGCCCCTGTGCACTCTGCCAAGAGAGAACAAAGAACAGCCAAAGCACACAACTTCTGGCATTTTACTTGGAAAGAAAGCGTTCATCCACATGTCAGGTAGGGAGCTGCCTTCTGCATTCTTGATCCAACCTGGCAAAGTTGCAGCTTGAATAAATAAATCCTAAACAGCAAAGTGCAAGAGAGACAGAGGCCCCGGGTGATCTTAACGTTTTGGAAGCTTCCTTGACAAACATTTGGTCTATAAACAAGCCCAGGACCAGACTGACACCCCTGATTCCCCAATAACTACTTGGAAGGGTGAGTGGCCAATCCAGGCACTCTGGTGGGAGAGATCATTTGTCCAGATCCTCCCACCCTGTCCCCTCCCTCCATTGTGCATCCCATGCAAGAGCCTGACACCCCGTGGAGTGCAGGGACTGCTCTCTCACTGTGTCCCACAAAGATACCTGGCCCTACCTCACCCTTACTCCCTTTGGAAGGTCAGTCTGAAATCTGGTGCAGCCTGTTCTCTCTTGCATATGGCTACCCCAGGAGGCAAAGCAGCTTCACACTTCCCCTTACTTGGGTCCATGCTTAAATGGCATAATCTAGTGCATGCTTCTTGCGGTTTAATGTTAAAACTTCTAATGCCACGTGGCCCCGCACTCTATAAAATCACACCAGATAGTAGGAGAACCTGCTGTCTGAAAACTGAGTTCAGAGCTTCAGATAAGTGGCCACCCCACATCTGTGTTTCTCTGTTGCTAAGACTTCATACAGCTGCTCTTAGCAACCTTGATGAGTGCAGTGGCCCCAAACTCATACAATGGTGACTTTCAGCGGGATGGCTTAGGAAATTAAAAACGTTGATCTGTTTTCTGCACCCAGATCAATTCCTTCTTCCTAAATGCATTGGCTACAATATTAGCTGCCTGACTCTGGCCTGTGACTTCACCCCAAGTAAATGCCCTAAGGACTGGGAATGTTGGATCACTCATTCACCCCTTGCAGATGGATAGGGAATGAAGCTTGGTTCTCCAGACTGTATGGAATGAGGTAGCTGCTCTCCTACGTGCATTTTTAAGGTTGAGCAAATGAAGGTAGTAACTTTAATGTGCACTTCCAAGCTGAACTCAATTGCTCTCGAGTCGCCAGGACAAAAGCACTGGTTGTCTCATCTTGTGCAATTAGGCATTTTTCCGTTGTTGTTGTTGTATATAGCCTGCACGGATTGTTTGCACAGCCTTCTGGTGTTGAGATAAGAAATATCTCTGCCTCTTACTAGCTGTGTGTTCCATCAGAACAATCTAGGGAAAACAACTTTCTTCAGGAAAGACTGCGTCTTTGAAAGAGGCTTTCCTATGTTTGAGTACAACCCCGCTTGGTACACACATTTATTTATACTAATAAATCTATCTAACAACAAATACCATATGTCAGAAGCGAACTGTTCTCTCAAATGTGCTGACTCTCTGGGTTTGGCTCGTCAATCAGACACTCACGGACTCAATACTTAATGACCAAAGCAGCTGTCTTCCAGTGGGAACAAAAATAGGCTTCTTGCTTGTGGATCTGAAGTGGAGTTTTGCCAGCCTGACAAATGCTGGCATACCTGTAAAATCTTACTACAATTTCTAGAATTCTAACTCACGAGTTGTCCAGGGTGGACCCCAGAAATGAGCTGACAGCCTGTCCTCGGATAGCAGGTGACTCTGCTGTATATAATGCAGCTGGGTGCTCTCCTGAGCCAATGGGCCTGATTCTGATCTTGCTTTCACCAGTGTAAAACTGAAATTCCATTCACTTCAATGGAGTCACTCTTGATTTATGCCAATGTGAATTGATAATTGAGATCCAATGACTTATTTGCTCCTAGCCCAGCCTGGCACAGGGGCAGAAGAGAAAGGGGAGAAGCAGTGTTCCCTGTGCTCCTTTCTCTTTCACCCTTCAGTGTTGGCCTTCTTTTCCCCTATCCCCAAAATCCACAAACTTGCTCTCTAAGCCAGCTTTATGAACAGCAAACAATTGACCCACTATATGCCTTTCTCTGTTTCCTTAGAGCAAGTCATGGCGGAAGATCAAAAATATGGTGCAGTGGTCTCCCTTTGTTATGTCCTTCAAGAAAAAGTATCCTTGGATTCAACTAGCAGGGCATGCAGGTATGGAAGGTTGAGCTGTGCCATGTCATCAAGGGAACCCTCCAGGGTGTGAGACTAATGAAATGTTGGGAAGTCTCCTGATTGTTCAGTTAATCAGCTGTGTTGGCCTCAATTGTCTCTGTGACGCTCATTAAGTGCTCACCTTGAATCTGTCTCTGGGGAAGCAGGGGCTTGAGGGAGGGTCTGATCTAAATGCTAGATTGCATAGTGTGGAGATGAAGGAGATCCCAGTGTGGCATGCTTGTAAAGTGTAGTGCTATCACTGCTGCCAGATGCTGTAGTTACTCCTGTCACTCAAGCTGTAGAGGTTTGTGCTCGGCTGATGAAGGTTCCAAGTTCAAACCCTGCCACTTAGCAATGTGTGGGGGTGTTGCTCTCCTTCATCAGTCCCTGGAAGCTAACATGCTTAGCGGCAGTGGTTCGGGGGGCAGGGAAGGAGTGATAGAGGTCCCCCCCCAAATGAGTAGTACATATAGCTTTGACTCTGACTTGAGGTCTGTCATGTCAGATCCTGTTAACCTTTGACACTATGTAACACTCAATAGCAGTTCAGTATACCTTGAGTGTTCTGGGTGGGGATGTCAGCAGGGGCAGGAGGCTTCATGACTGCTCTCCTCTGCGAAGGGTCTGCACCTGTAAGCACTGTGTTGCCTTTTGTCTCTCAGGTAGCTTCAAGGCTGCAGCCAATGGCAGGATACTCAAGAAGCACTGTGAATCTGAGCAGCGCTGCTTGGACCGCTTGATGAACGACGTCCTTAAGCCCTTTGTTCCTGCCTACCATGGGGATGTGGTGAAGGATGGGGAGCGGTACAATCAGATGGAAGACCTGCTGGCTGAATTTGACTCCCCCTGCGTTATGGACTGCAAGATGGGAGTCAGGTTAGTGCTGCTAGGTGCATTGGCTTGTAACTGAGCAGAAAGGAGCAGCCTGAGTTCAAGAACCCAAATCCAGTGTTTAAAGCAACATTATACCCAAGTAAACAATATCCAGAGCAAACTGGCTACTCTGACAGGCTTACTTGGCCATGGATGACTATTGCCCAGGGCTTTAGAGAGGGAAGCCAAGCGGGTGGGGGTGGGAGACACAAGAGGAAACCTGGGCTGGGAAATGGTGGAACAGACTCCTGCAGTCACATGTTGGTAACTCTGTGGTGTACTGTGAAAGTGGATTGCTTGGTGTTGCATCAGTCTGCACTAGTAGCCCATTGCTGTTCCAGGGGCCTGGGGATGACAGCTTTTGAGACAGTACCTTGCCCTGCTCTCTCAACCACAAAGGGCACTGATCTAGGTGGGGGGAGGTGCATTTCAGGAGTTGTATAGGGGTCAGAATAGAGATCCTCGAATGAAGCAGCTTTAAAAAGAGGTGAGACAGAGAGAGAGAGCCCTGCTTGGGAGCTCCCACCAGAAGTTTGCCTTAAGTCCAGGCAGGGGTAGCATTTCTTAGACATCACACACCTAGACTAAAACACAAGCAGTGCTGTCGCACACCCATCTCTGGCTCTGTGGTGAAGAGCACCAGGGAGTTGCACCCCTCTCTGAAGGAAGAACAGCATTTACCACCTAATGTTTTACACTATCAAAGTACATTCTAGCGTGCTGGGACAAGGTCTATCCGGACAGCTAATGTTCTGGGAGATGCCCCAAGGAAATCATCAGGGCATATGTGTATTCCATGTGGGGCTCTAGCCCATTCAAGCTGCAGCGAAGGCCTTGGTGCTAGCTGTCAGCCTTCTTGTATCTCTGCCTCACACGCTCCACTTCAGATCTGAGTTCAAACAGCTTTTTATCCTTCCCCTTACTTCTTACTAGCTCTTGCATGCTCTTTGTGACACAGTGTATAATATTCTACTCTGTCCTTCATCAGTGAATCCTGAAGCCTTTTACAAAGGGTGAGCATATGTATCCTAGTCTTCCTTGGAACCCATCTACGAACTATTAAAATTCAATCCTGCAAACGCTTAGCTATGCAGACCTTAACCATGGAACTAGTCCTGTTGACTTCAATGGGATTATTTGAGCAAGTAAGGATTACACATGGGCAAGCATTGCAGGATCAGGTTCTTAAGTTTTTATGTCGAAACCCAAAGCCAGTATGCAGATTCAGGCCAGATATAAACCGCTAGCCAGCTTGGGTTTTAGATCCCTGTAAAGGACAGACTTAAAGCTTAGATGTGGTAGAGACGCTTATGCTTTCTGGAAAAGCTGACAGCTCTTGTGGGAAGAGAGGAATTTCTTTTTTTCCTTCTTCTTCTTCCCCTTTTGAACTCCTGATGTGAAACATGAACTGGCATGTTAGACTGTCAGACACAAAACCCATACTCCCCCTCCGGAGGGGGAGGAATGCAGGTAATGGAATGCTGGCAGTCTCCAAGCTAGCAGCATCCCTCCCCCCCGCCCCGCCTTGGGCATGGGTTGAAGTGTAACTTGGAGGAAATGGGGACTGGGTCTGTCCCCTGGGGTGACAATTAAATCTTGTTCACAAGCCCCCACAGGAAAACCCACTGTCCTAGTAAATTTGCCCATGTGCTTTTTTTTGTATCTCTGAAAGGAGGCAGGCTGTTCTGCTGCACTGTTTTGGTTGGCCTCTGCTTCACAGAAGGGGAATGAAGTTCAAGTTACTGCATGAACAAGTAGAAAAATATTCTGAGCAGGGTTAGCCAATGCTTTGCCCAAAAGAGCACATCCTCGTCAAGGAGGTTAGGGAAGATCTTTTCCTTAAAATTTGCTTGCACCGGCAGTGACCTGTAGGCCCGGTCTGTGTTGGTGTCATTGACAAGCCAGGAGGCTACAGCAGTGCAGGAAGTTGTGAAAGGGGCTGTATATCCCTTTGCCACACTGTTATCGGTGGGTGGAATTAGGCAAAATCATCTGCATGTGATTGCCGAGCAGGTAGCTAGAGCTTGACTTTCAGGGGAGATCGGCAATGCAGTGGAGTCAAAACAGTGTTTGTGTTAAAATAGACATAATGGTGCAAAAAGGTGCACACTAAAGCTTACCAATGGAGACTCAATGAGGAAAGCAAATTGCACCCTCCTGCACTCCAAACCTGTCATCCCCAGCCCCACCCCAGAGCCTGCACCCCCAGTTGGAGTCCTCTCCCCCCCACCCCAGCCCAGAGCCCCCTCCCACACCCTACACTCCTCATTTCTGGCCCCACCCCGGAGCCCGCACCCCCAGCCAGAGCCCTCACCCCATTCCGCACCCTAACCCCAATTATGTGAGCATTCATGGCCCACCATACAATTTCTATGCCCAGATGTGGCCCTTGGGCCAAAAAGTTTGCCCACCCCTGCTATAGGGAGTGGAATTTCAGTAGGTGATACTTTTTCTCAGTCAGTGTCAAAGCAATTTCCTACCATTGTGTTAGGGGGCCCTGTTCTGCTACTCTGAAGATGTAAAATCAAGGTTTTGATCCTTTGTAGCTATTAAAGATGTGGTGTGACTTTATGAATAACCTCTGTGTCCTGGCCAGATTCACATTGTGGTAATTACATTCTGCCTTCCTGAATTCCCACTGCATTTCAACTGGGTGGCTTTCCACCTGCTCTCCTAAACTGTTCAATGGCTGCCCCAGAGCTAGATGCATTTTCACAGGTAGGTTAAATGATTCTTTTAGAATCTTTACTACTTCAAGTGGGCTTTGAGGATTATAGCTTGTGAAATACTGATTCATATGTATTTCTAGAGTGAAACTTACCACTGTGGGCAAGGCCTGTGGGGAAGGATGGGGGATCCATGAGTCGGAAGATTAAGGCCTGATATCATGAACAAGTCCTCTGTTTGGGAAGCAGCAAATGGTGAAGGTTATTGAATGTCTGCTACCGGAGGAAGGGATAGAATTTGATTTTTATGTATTTATAATTTTGATGGATAATATCACCAATGTGTATTTGTAAGCATTTTTTCTATTGTTAGCTATTTACATTTTCACAGAGGTGTGAAATTCTGGGGCCGGGGGCAGGGGGGGGAGGGCAACAATGGAGGTTTCAGAAATAATTATTTAATGGTAATAGACATTGAGATACAGAAAGTTCAACCTTCATAACCATTAAAACACAAATTGTCAGCATCACACGGCAAAATATGTAAAGTAAATATCCTTAAATCAGACTTTAGTAAGTTCTCAAGTGGCATTTTTCTTACTTGGCCGAGCTGTAAATTTTGATGATCATCGACGGAAAGGTTTTTTTTTGTCAGTTTGTGTGTGTGCGTGTGCGCGCGCGCGCACAGTGAAATCGACGTTTGCCAATAAAAATCAAATCCTTCCGAGCCTACCTATAGAGCACAAATCAGTGCTGTGAACTGTGACAACAGGGCCGTGGTAAAGAGCAGTGGAGACACCAAACCCTGCACAGAGTTTATTCCTTAGCAGATCTTGTTAGTTCAACAGATGGTGGCAAAAGTGTTTGTTCTGAGAGGGACTTATCCGAAGGCAGGTCATAGCTGTTGCTTGTGAGTGAGCAGATGCTATCTCAGCATTTCCACCCTGTCCTAGAGGAGCCTGCCCTTTCCCCACCCGCGGGTTTCTCTAGGAAGTGGCAGCTTACATCTGTCTGGAGGCTGACTGAAAACAACTGTAAGACTTCATTGCCAATCCCCCTGATGTATCACAGTTATCACTGTGAGATGACTGGCCCAAATCCACAGCAAGGGTAATAAACACTCTGTATGTCTGTTCAGAGAACAGGATTTCAGATAAATGGGACCCAGAACAATAAAATCTATGGGAAAGGACATATATGTCCAATGGAGGAATACGCACTCCAGCCCCTCCCAGTTGTCTCATTGTTTTCCATCATGAATCGTACAGACCTGTTCAAAGTTACACCTCTTCACTCCGCTCTGTATTTTACAGGAGTGGGAACAAGGTTTTGCCTCCTTGATAGTCCAACTGAAACAGACTAACGCCAGATGAACTAAGCTATCTCAAAACAGCTTTGTGTGAAAACATCCTGTTTAATACCCTGTTTGCTGCAGCACACCGTGGTATGCGGTGAGGGGGCAGGGTCATGTACCAAAAAGCACAAGACAGACTTCAACAAAAGTCAAAGCATGTCAGCTGATTATCAAAGGGAACATCAGATGCTGTTAACAGTCAAGTGTTGGAATGTAGCAACTTCTCTCTCTCTCTTTTTGAATTGTGCCAGTTTCCATGGTACATGGTCAGTTGACATAGCACATTTTGAAAGCTTCATTTAGCTTGGGAGAATAACTACTTGTTTAGGTTTGCTCAGCATTCCAAACTAGTTATCCAAGACAAACGTTGAGTAATCTGCTTCTAACTTATTCCAGAGGAGAAGGGTTGAGTGAGAGAGAAAACCTCCCCCCTCTTGTTGATGACACTGATTTGGTGCACATTAAGGATCTGAGGCTTGAGTGGAAGTTAGGTAGGGCCTTGAAGGTGATTGCAAAAACCTGATGCAGTTGTGCAGTGGCCAGATCAGTGGTCGTGGAAAATGATCCCACTGACTGTGTTTCTGTATGGGCTGGAGGGGATGTTGTGAGGGGCCACAGAAGAGGTTACAGTAACTGGAGTGGTGAGGGCCCAGACAGTTTTAGCTGAAGGCTGATCTTTGGAATGAGGGAGAGGAAGACATGGCAGGACTTGGACATTGCACTGTGCAGGAGAGGTGCTTACTACCTCGCAGAACAGGTCCGTTGGTGGAGAAAACCTACAGCTCTTAAATACCACATCAGCTGCATCCTAAGTTTATCCAGTATTTGTCCAGGACCGAACTTGGTCATCTGTTTCGCTGATATCTTTGACTTGCTTCAGCAAATCCCCATGGAGTCACCTCTCATTATGTCAACTCTACCAGTTGATCAGAAGATGACACCATCTAATGTCCCAGAGTCCTGTTAGATATTTAGCAGTGAGAGGAGGGTAGCTGTGTTGGAACAGATCTGACAGAGGTGTTACCGGCCTGTCTGGGTCTTCAGAGCCCACTCACACCTGTCAGGAGGGAACTGTGGGGCCCCAACGATAGGCAGAGCAGGGGAACTAATCTGATTTTAGCCATATTAATTTTTGAATCCTGAGTAACTTCAGAATGTCTGAAGTATTTGCACCAGGGTGGAAACTTGGGGTACTAAACTGTGCAGGATCAGTTAAACAAGTCTTTATGTAGGTTAATGTCTTCACATTTCTCTATAGGCAGTTACTCCCTGGATATCTTATGTTATCCCAGGTACATGCTTTCTGGGGTAAGGACCGTTGCTAACTATGCAGTGCCTGACACAGCAGGGCTCTGATTCTGACTGTAGCCTCCAGGCACTACTGCAGTACAAGTGTCTTGTGTTTCTCTTGGCCCGCTCTGCAAATGGCAGAGCGGCTCCTACCGAGCCAGCCCTTGGAACATGTTATAAACTGGACCATTTTGGGGTTGCGCCTGAATTGTAATGTCTGTCTGTGGTCTGAGCTCTGAATGATGGCAGGTGGGCTGGAAATAAAAAAGCTTTTCTGTGCATGCTGCATTTGCCTTCTGTATCTCCTTTCTTGGGCCTGGTCCAGACTACCCCCCTACTTCGGACTAAGGTACGCAAATTCAGCTAGTTAATAACGTAGCTGAATTCGAAGTACCTTAGTCCGAACTTACCGCGGGTCCAGACGCGGCAGGAAGGCTCCGCCGTCGATGCCGCGTACTCCTCTCGGCGAGCTGGAGTACCGGCGTCGACGGCGAGCACTTCCGGGATCGATCCCAGAACATCGATTGCCTGCTGCCGGACCCTCCGGTAAGTGTAGACGTACCCTTGGTGTAACTGAAGATAGCTGATGGACTTTTCCTGTACCTCATCTCAGGTCGCTAATGTTGAGTTTTTATTTGTAACACCTGTTCATGGGTTATGTGGCCTGAGGCCTGTATACATATTTATTGCAACCCCAGGTGTTGGGGGTTCTTGTTCTTTGGAAATTGCCCATACGACACTGCCGCTTTAGGTTTTAGTCCTGTGAGGACTTTGAGTGCCCTCACTTCCAAGTGAAGTCAATGGGAATTGAAGGCACTTGGACTTCCTGTTGCGGACTATATTGGGGGATCAGTCCCTTAGTAAGGAGTGCCATCCTTCCTCAGTGCTATTAACATGTTCAGACAGTGACCACAATACATTGGAACAGTACCGCACTCATCAACTGCTAATAATCTTTCCGCCTCCTTTGCAGAACGTATTTGGAGGAAGAGCTAACAAAGGCCAGAAAGAAGCCAAGCCTGCGGAAGGACATGTATCAGAAGATGATTGAAGTAGATCCCAGTGCCCCGACCGAGGAGGAGAATGACCTACATGCAGTAACCAAGCCCCGATACATGCAGTGGAGGGAGACCATTAGTTCTACAGCAACCCTGGGATTCAGAATTGAGGGGATAAAGGTGAGGCTGCTTGACCCGTCTCCGTGTCATAACACTGGTCACTGGCAGGGTTCATGGGAAAACCTGCCTGGGAGAAGTATTAATTTCCTGCAACCGCTATTAGTAGCATGAAGTTTCTGTAGCCAAACTTGGTGAAAGGTGCACACAGAACGATCTCTCTGAGCCAGGCTCATGGCATTTCAAGATGTCCTGTGCCACCTTATGGCTTCTGAGGGAGAGCCTTGGAAAACTGCTCTTTCCACCCAAAACAGCAGGCAAAGCTTTGACTAAACTTTTGCTTTTGGGTCCTAACTTGCCTCAATAACAGAGAACTGAGCCCCTTCCAAACTTTAGAGATATTTCAAAAAAAAATCAGGATCCAGCTCTGTGACCTGAAAATTCAAAGCAGAATTTGTTTCTGCTCCTTCCCCTTCCAATCTCTCAAGATCTGGCTGTATAAGAGAGGAGTGAAATGTGATAAAGGCACAAGTAAACTGGGAAAAGTCTGCCTGACAAATAAGTCCTCTGTAAAAGCTCTGCACATTTTACTCATGTTTCACTGACTGCCGCCGTCCTGGATGGCACTCGAGGGCTAGCAACTCTAACGACTGAAAAGCTAGGCCATGTAGCTTTGCCACGGTAGCGCCGTAGCGTAGATCCTTCCTATAGTTATGGAAGAGATTTTTTCCGTCAATGTCGGTAATCCACCTCCCCGAATAGCAGTAGCTAGATTGACAGGAGAATTCTTCCATCGCCATAGCCATGTCTATGCTGGGGCTTAGTTTGGCTTAGCTACGGCATTCAGGAGTGTGGATTTTTCACGCCCCTGAGTGCCGTAGTTATGTGGACCCAACTTGTAAGTGTAGACCAGGCCCTAGACCAGGGGCGGGCAAACTTTTTGGCCTGAGGGCCACATCGGGTTTTGGAAATTGTATGGGGGGCCGGTTAGGGGAGGGGGGCATGGCCCGCCTTCCCCCATTTCCACCCTCCCCCCCGCTTCTCACCCCCTGACAGCCCACCCCCAGGACCCTGCCCCATCCACCCCTCCCCCGCTCCTTGTCCCCTGACCGCCCCTGGAACCCCCGCCCCGACTGCCCCCCTGGATCCCTGCCCCCATTCAACCCCCCTGCCCTCTGACCGCCCTGACCCCTATCCACACCCCTGCCCCCTGACTACCACCCCAAACTCCCGTGCCCTCTATCCAACTCCCCCCCCCCCGCTCCCTGCCCCTTTACCGCACTGCCTGGAGCACCGGTGGCTGGTGGTGCTACAGCCATGCACCGCGCAGCATAGAGCACCGGGTCAGGCCAGGCTCTGCAGTGGCGCTGCCCCAGAAGCTCGCAGTCCTGCTGCCCAGAGCATTGCGCCGGCGGCGGGGGGAGCTGAGGCTGCGGGGAAGGGGGAACAGCGGGGGAGGGGCCGGGGGCTAGTCTCCCGGGGCAGGAGCTCAGGGGCCTGGCAGGAGGGTCCTGCAGGCCGCAGTAGTTTGCCCACCTCTGCCCTGGCCTAGACTAATAGTTGCTGTGTAACATCCTAGCAGTTTAAAGCTGCCCTCTAGAGGCAGCTTGTCCAAAAACATGATCCAATCCTTTTAGTACATGAGCCAGTCTCTATAATGAAGAGAAGCAAAAGCCTATATGGATCTGAACTTTACCAAAGCTCAGGGTGTCTGTTTTGGTGTCTGGAATTGTCATGCTAAAGTTCTGAGCTGAAACCTTGATCCAAACCACAATGTGGGTTTTAGTTTGTGCCCATCTCAGATTGCAGTATCGAGGCATGATCATGATCAGGGGCTATGGAGATTCCTCTCCCATGTAACGAGATGCTCTGTCTCTCATTTAAACATGATGGGTAACTCTTGCAAAAGTGCTGAAGGACATGTCTTCACTGCAGAATTAATTTAAGTTATCTACGCTTGAGTTACTTCTCTCAATTTTAGCCTAGCTTGAGTGAGAGCAGCCACACTGCAAAATAGCATGCAAGCTGCTTTGTCCACTCAGGTGCTGCACTCACTCGTGTGTGGGTCTAAGAATTCTGGGGGCTGTCTCTCGGTCCTTGGCACTGCAGTAAGCAGAGCTACTCTATGAATTATCTCCCAGTGAATTGTGGAGGAACTTGTCTGTCCCTTCATGAGGACTGGTGGTTAGAGGAGAGGAATTATGGGAAGGCATTGGAGGACTAGCGGCACATGAGTGGAACTAGCCTTCATCCACACTGCAGGATAGTCATGTTAGCAACTAATGAGTTCTGCTGACTCGAGCTGCAGCCCGAGCCCCCTTATGGGCCAGCCAACTTGATTTACAAGCACCACACTCGAGTGAAGGGTTTGTATGTGTGAATGGGGAACAAGTTACAACTTTGCAGTGAAGACAAGCCCTAAGTGACTGAGGGTATGTCCACACTACAGCGACACAGCTACAGCACTGCAGCTGTGCCACTGTAGCACCGTAGTGTAGATGAGTCCTACCTCAACAGAAGGGGTAGGTAATCAATGTAGGTAATCCACCTCTCCAAAAAGGTGGTAGCTAGGCTAATGGAAGAATTCTACAGTGGGGGTTATGTCACCCTAACGACGTGGCACAGGGCACAACATTTTTCACAGCCTTTAGCGATGTAGCTAGATTGATCACATTTTTAGGTGCAGATCAGGCCTTAGAAGCCTAAGTCTCATTGCAAGTTAATGGGTCTTAGGCGCTTTCAAACCCTTTACTAGAGAGAAACATCCAATCGCTGTAGCACTGAATTGAAATGAAGGAAACCCTGCTTTGAATTGGGGAGAAGGGCAGAAGGGATTAAGAGTTCAACTCCACTAACCAGTGGTCAGATTGATTAAAACAAGCTGGGGCTAAAACAAGTGGTAAGTGGTGGTTAAAATGAGTAGTGGCACTCGCTGCAACTGACATCCACGACCCCAGCTACTCCTTCAGTACTCTGTGGAGATCCTCCTAATAACAGCCCCATTTTCTTAACACTCTTTGATCAGCGGGGAAATGGCTGACATAGAGATTATTTATATTAAGCAACAGAGAGTCCTGTGGCACCTTTAAGACTAACAGATGTATTGGAGCATAAGCTTTCGTGGGTGAATGCCCACTTCGTCGGATGCATTATTTGTATTGTCATTAGTCATTGGATTTAACCTTAGTCAACATTCTCACAGCTGCTGTTTCAGGCTGTCTGCATAACTGGGCAGGCGTCACTGCATCCTTTTACATTAGGGAGGGCTTCGCAACCATGAGGTTGAGAGACTTGGAAAGTGCGGGGCTAAATGCAAGCGTACATTCTGGTGCAAAGACGGTGCCCCATTGAAAAGCACCTTCTTACTGAACTGCTGTGACTGGACCATTTCAACCCATGCTCCTAGCAAATGTTTTTCCTTGGACAAACGCCGAGCAATGAAGGCGATCCCACTGTGAGAAGAGGAGGCCTTTCTGAGGTTGAATTGATGCAACAAGATTCATGACCAGCGGGTGGTATTGCATTTGTATCTGTCTGTGTCACTCAGGGACTTGCTGAAAGGGGCTAAAGTAAGAATAATCATTTTTTCAGCATGGTTGGTGTGCTGCAGCATAGCCGCCTTCCTGAGAGGCCCCCACCATTGGCTACCTTCCCCTTAAAAAACCTTTGTCGTCTTGCCGTAATACACGTTCCCTCATCTGTTCCACCAGTTCTGACCACTGCTCAGTTTCCCCCTTCCCCTCCAGTTCTATTGGAGGCTGATTCTTAACTGACACCTTACTGAGAACTGTCCCATTTCACTGATTTTCCCAGCCCTCTTCAAAACACCACTAAATCCCCTCCTCTTTGCTCCCTCCACCCAGTCAGACAGTTCCCTATATCAGCCCTTAATCTGAACAACCCTTCACCCATTTCCATTGCTGTAACTGTCACTGTTTGGCTGGTGCACTTTATGAAACTAAAACTAAAAAGTAGCTGGATCAGTTAGGACTAAATCTTGCACATGGTGATTTGTCTGTTGCTTCTCTCTGTCCTCTTGCTAAGATTAAGTGTATTTATCTGTTCATAGTTCTCTGGGCTGCATGCTTGGTCTAAAGGATTATATATAGGGATACCGCAAGGGGATGGACTCATCTACTTAAGTCTTTTGCCTCTAATTACTGTAATTCTCCTTAAATCCCTCAGTTCCTAGATTTTTTCCCCCTCCAATCTATAGCACTGACATTTCACTTTGGTTACTGGCATAGATCTTTTCCCCTACCTATAAGTTGAAGTTTTACACACAGCAAATGTTGCTGAATTGTATTACTTTGCTTGCTTCATAGCTGGATAAGCATTCCCTGCTGAGAACAGGCATTCAGTATCTTGAAGCTGCTATTGAAGCCTCGTGGGGAAACTTAGGAAAGTTTTATTGAGAGACTGTTCTTGTTTTTTCCTTCCCTACTTTCTCACTTTGGACATCTTCCTGGAAAAACAGGATTGTCTGGAGTAATCTACCCTGTAAGTTGTCTGTAGTAGAGATCTTGATAGAGAGGATCTTGTGCTAAATCTTGTTTTCAGATCGGCAGGAGCAGCTCCCACTGAAGTAACTGAGAGTTGTGTGCAAGTATCAATAGGCAGAGCGTTGTGGGGTGGAGCAAGAGACTTGCATGAAGAGAGCCTTAGTGAATGTATCAAGTTTCAAGAGGAGGGCAATGGAATCTAGTAGGCAGACCGCAAGACTGGGACTTGGGAACCTAGTTCCTGTCCCATTCCTAGCTCCGTCCCCAGCTTGCTGGGTGACCGTGAGTAAGTCACTTACCCACTTTGCATCTCTCTGTCTGTACAATGGGGACAGTGGTGCTTTCCTGCATTGAAAAGGCTGGGAACGCCAGATTTTATCAAAATAACCAGGGTAAAACTCAAGATGGATCCCATTTCTACTGGTAGTTAAAACTACCTTGAGGCATCAGTCACTCTCAGAAGTATATGCCCTGCATAGTGTATTGCTGTACTGATGTATACACATTTATATAGTCACACAAACTCCATTGACTTAACTTCCTTAGGCTCCTGAAAATCCCACCCAAACACCCTTCAAGAAAGAACCTGGCGACCTGATCTTGCTGACTGCAAGTTCTAGGATTCCACGGAAGAAACAAGTTAGCCTTGACACTAAAGTTACCATAGGCTAAAACTGGTGCTAATGTGGGGGTGGTGGCAGGGAAAGCCCAGTTGCTATGGCCCATCAACCAGCCCTACATTTCTTCTTTGTAAAGATTAACTCCCTGGGGCTAGAACACCTGTAAATGTCAAGCCTATGGAAAACACCACAGCACTGCCTGGCAGCTCAGGGAAAACTTCAAGTGGGGAATAATTATAGGAGCAGCATTATAAATATTCTAGCTGGCTTTCCTGTAACGGAGCTAATGCCTTATCTCAAAGCCCATCCACTGTTTCATTTATTTATAGCCGCACGTAAAACTCCACTCATAACCATACACCTCCCTTCTTGAATGCTTTGTGCAAGGCTGTACTGCAGTTTACATGTGAAACTAGTGTGATAGCCCTTCTCCAGGTTGGTATCTGTCATCTCCAAGGGGCAGGGGCAGGGGAGGTTTCCATATGACTGATGACTGATGCATAGTAGCCAGGGAGCTCTCCCTCTGGACAACAAGAGGGATCAAGTTCCTGAGCAAGCAAACCTCCTCTGAAGGTACTTCCCCACTCCCTGAGAGCACACATTCTGTCAGCACGGCTTCTCTGATCTTGGCCACCTGCAACGGTGCACAGGCCCTGAGATGATCTCAGGCTGTCATGTCCCAAAGCACTTAGGACTTTATGCATTATAAATGGCTCCCAATTGCACTCACACAAACAGCAGTTTTCCTAAACAGGTGTAACGTCGCACAGATCCACTCCACTGAGCATACTTTAGCAAGCAAGATTGTTCATCATCTTTAGTTGTAGGTTTTACTATTGCTTAAGTCAGTTTACATAATGTGCATAATCTTGGATTATATTTGCATATCATTTACTGACTAAATTTGGCACACTGATTTACATGATCAGTCTACTCGCCCCCACAATTCATGCATTGTACACACACATATTTCACCTTCCATTTCTTTGGGAATGGTGCTCAGTTGAATACTCGGAACGCCCCGGGAAGGCTTTATAAGGACATCTAAAGCTACAGGACAGGATATTCATTGTACTCTGTTCCTTCCCTCATCCTCTGATCCAGTTCTTCATTCTTACTTCATCTTCCCCAGCATAACAGGATGTCTTTCCGGCTCCCATCCTTTCAGAGTGTTGTGGGCAAACAAGTCATCCTTCATGGAGCACTAGACTGGAAACAAAGCTGTGTGTATAGGACACACTTTAAAACTAGCCTCTACAGCCAGGAAGTGCAGGTCCCAAAGGGAATTCTGATTACTCAGTGGTTTATAGGATCTGGACAAACAATGAAAGAACCTGATCTATGCTCTTCATTTCTACAGCATCTGAGGCTCTCAAAGTGACTTAGCATCACAGTAGCTTTCTTAATTTGTTTGTGAGACTCTTCATCATCCCCATTTTGTAGCTAAGGGACGGAAGCAGAGAGAGGTTAAGAGACTTGGCAAAGATCCCATAGGAAGTCTGTAGAAGAGCAGGAATGGCACCCCAATCTTTTGACTTCCAGTTGTTTGCATATTTCCTTCCCTAAGACCTTTGGGAACAGAACAGTAGGAGAAGAGAGCCTTTTGGGGACAAAGTTCTACCGGGAAGTGTGCTGTAATCCCACATCTGACGCAGACATGCAAGGGTATTGTGCTGATTCACTATTGGTGCCTGACATCTGACAATTGCCTTGCTGTCAGTCTGGCATTGCATGTATCTGTGCTGCCTGGTAGCCTGTAAGCTCCTTGGAGCAGAGGCTTCTTGCTATTTCTGTCGTGCTGTGCACAGAGCTTCATTAAATGGAGCACTTAACTATGGCTAACTCTAATCCTGGGATGTATTCATGTTGCTCTTGGGCTGTGTCTGCATAAACCTTTTCTCTTAAAATTTCCCACCATTGCTATTGATAGAGTAACAGAAATGTAGGGCTGGAAGGGACCTCGAGAGGCCATCTAGTCAGCCCCCTGCACGGAGGCAGAACCTAGTATACTGAGACCATCCCTCATAGGTGTTTGTCCAACCTGTTCTTAAAAGCCTCCAGTGATGAGGATTCCATAATCTCAATAGACTAGCTCAGCCCTGGGTGCCCCACAGCCACCTCACTCAGAACAGGCCTAGATGACCGAATGAGAAACATGCTGGCAATCTGTCTACCTCCTACCACTGTGGAGCTGCACCATTCATAGCAATGGTGAGAAATTTAAGGAAAACACTTACCTCTTCACTACATCAGACTTTGTTTAGGTCAAGGGTAAAAGCTAGAGATGCATATTCATGACCACTGTGTCTTTTTTTTTTCTTGCAACTTCTTTTATTGCCTGCTCTGTGGCTTTTGGGAGGAGAGAAGGTATTTAATGATAGACCTGACCTGACTCTTCAACCCATGGTCAACCTACATAGATCACAAAGCCTCCAATGTGGACCTTTGTCTGACAATGATGTTTAAAGAAATCCTTCCAGGGCAGATTCTAACATCCTTGCTCGTGTGGAGTAGCTGACTTCAAGGGGACCCTTCCTGGAGCGAAGTACCGCTCGCTGCCAAGTGATGGGAATCTGGGAAACCTTGAGCCATTGGGCTGTTTCCTCTGCTGAGCAGGAGCAGATGAAAGCGGGTCAGTTCAGCTGGGAGGGTGTGCTGGGTCCCTTCTAGGGCTAGACTGGGTGCAGCCTGAGCAGGTGAGATGTTCAGGTAGCCATGCTGCTCAACTGGAGCGGGAGGGAAGAGTGTACACAGCTTGCTGAGTTTTTACACTGTACGTATCAGTCCTTGAACACAGAGGTGATCATAAACAGCCGACAGGCAGGTGTCTTTTACGACTCTTGGCCATTATCAATGGGCTGGGGACCCGGGTCTCCTACAGACCCACCGTTTTTTGCAGTTTTCAGTAGGGAGTAAAGCAGGTATTGCCCAGGGCCTATGGGTGAGCTGCTGCAGTCTGCATTATGCCTTCCCACCCAAAAGCTGCCCTAGTGTTTCAAATCAGACTGGCTACCCAGGGATTTTTGTGTCCCCTTCTGGGAAATGTCTACCTTTCCCTTCCCTCCATCCTCAGATGTTTTCTAGCATGACTTTTATGCTCGCTTCTTCTTGAAGCAAGAATACAATAGGAGGCAGCTGCTGGCTATTAGACATTCTGGTCAGAGAAAGCAGGGAGAAGGAATTTGGGAGCTACATGGCAAAAAATGAGTGGTACTTACTTCTAGGACCTGCACTTGGGGTTAGTCAGTGCTATGGTCCCTGGACGGTAACTTGCCCATGTCATTAGTGGCCTTGGTAAGTCTCTGTGACACTGGAGAGCTGCTGATAAGATTCCTTATTAAGTAATGGTCTGGCTGCAAGAGCTGACCAGCAGGTCAGTATGTCTGCTGACCTCTTCAGTAAGGCATACAGTCACTACATCTGACCATCCATAAGCAGAGGACCTAGAGAATAGAGCACTAGACTGGGACTTGGGAGACCTGGGTTCAAATCTTGGCTTTGGCCCTGCTGGGTGACTTCTCAGTGCCTCTATTTTCCCAGCTGTAAAATAGGGATAATGATATTTACCTCCTTCTGTAAAGCACTTTGAGCTGAAAAGCGCTATAGAAGAGTAGGTATTATTTATTATTATTTCATGGCACTTACTTGAATCTTGACTACCTGTCCCCTTGCCCTCAAGGAGGCCAGTCTGCACTCTGGTTCATGACATGCCCAGCAGTGTTTCAAACACAAGTCACCTCCTCTAACTGCCCGCTCTCATGACAATGTGTCTGGGTTTCTCTCCCTTTTTAAGAAAGAAGATGGCACAGTGAACCGGGATTTCAAGAAGACAAGAACAAAGGACCAGGTCACAGAGGCCTTCAGAGAATTCACTAAAGGAAACCGTAACATTTTGGTGAGTCAGCAGTTGCATTAGGACGACATTGCCCAAATGCCTGCCAGGTGCGAGAGTGGGCTCCTTCCTCCTCTAGGCTCTTGCCTTGGTGATGCATTGCCTAATGCCAAGGACCACAGAATTAACCTTGCCGTTGCTGTGCCGAGCCCATTGGGAAATAGCACCAGAAGGGCAAAGTAGAGACCACTTCCTAGCCTGGAGAAGGTGCAGGGGTAGGCAGAGGCTAGGAGAGAACACGCTGTTAGCTGTAATGGCAACACTCAGACTTTGCGCTAGGCAACCTGATTATATCAGGCAGCTAGTAGGATTACGAAACCATCCACTGCCAGAGGACAGACGCGGAAGGATAGGCTTGGTCGGCTAAACTAGGGGAGGGGAAGTCTGCTGTAGAGATGGAGAAGAGGCTGCAGGCATGGGATGTGAGGAACAAGCTCCCATCAGTAGTGGCTTGGGCTGGTGATCTGATCTCTGGCTGCTTGGCTGGAGAAGATTTCCTTCCTATACTGTGGGCTGCCTCATAAGGCAGGCTGTAAGGGTGCCCAGTGTCCCTGCCATCCAAGGGCATTGGGGGTGGGGAGGGGGGATGGGACCATTGTCTGTAGCCGTCCCTCTCCTGGGCCTGAGCGCTGCAAACCCATGTATCCTGCATATGCCAAATAGTGCTGCTGCATGTTGCTAGGTGAACTAGCTGTTTAGCTGTAAATGTTTTCCATAGACTGGGTGAAATATACAATTTGATAAACTAGCTCCATTTTAGGCCCTACCATATAAAGCCTATTAGCGAATGACTCTAAATGGCCTGGCTCTTAGCACTGCCGACTTCAAACCTGCCTGTTTACTTTGACATTAGCTAACTGGGGTTTATTCTTGGTTCTGTAAATGACGCTGCCCAGCTCTGGTTTGGCCAAATTGCTTCTATGTACGCAGGCGGATTTGGAGTTCTTTCAAACCACTTTGACACTGTTTAAGGCTAGGGCTAAAGAGAGGTGAATCTCATCAGTCAAACTGCTAACCTCCTGAAGTCCACCCCTCTGCAACCTCCCACCAGCGCCAGAGTTTGAGCAGTTGATTTGACTCCTCTTAGAAGAGGGGCTGGCAGCACGGTTAGCCAGTACTGTATGTATTAGAATATTTATAATTTAGCCTGCTTTTTGGATTAGACCAGGAACATTGGTGTGATTAGCAAGGGGACTTTGAAGAATTCCAGAAATTCACCATGTTACTAGTCTAACACGCCCCTCTCTAGGTCTTACCACTGAGTTGCTTGAAAAGACTTAAACTTGTAGTAGTACTGATAGCTTATTTTCTTTATCGTTCCAGAATGGTTACCTTAATCGGTTGAAGGGGATCCGTGACACCCTGGAAACATCATCGTTCTTTAAATGCCACGAGGTAGAACTTGCCTTTCTCTTTTGAGACGATGCTTAGCTAGATCTGTCTCTATGTGTACTGTGTAGCTTCTGTCCAAGAAAGGGATATCGTCAGTGTTAGAACTCATACATTTCTAAAACTTGAGTTTATTCTCAAATGTGTATTTTCATAGGTTTGTCTGCTTAGTACCTGCAGGGAGATCATATGACCTACAACTTTGATGTAACCTTGTCACATCTGACACTAAGTGAAAGCTACCTTTACATTGTATGACCATCAATTTTTATTAGTCCAGGAGCTCATATTTCAATGTTTGTTCAGAATCTTTATGCTTATATGTGACTTCAGGAATATTCCTGGCTATTCTGTCATAGAAAATATAATATGATACCTCTGTGCTAAAGTCTACATAAATGTAAGTTCCAGATAATGGTTGGCTTCCAGCATCATAAGCTATTTAAACACAACAAAGAGTCCTGTGGCACCTAATAGACTAACAGACCTATTGGAGCATAAGCTTTTCACCCACGAAAGCTTATGCTCCAATAGGTCTGTTAGTCTATAAGGTGCCACAGGACTCTTTGTTGCTTTTTACAGATCCAGACTAACACAGCTACTCCTCTGATATTAAACACGGTTCCAGATACCTGAAAGGATGCTGGGAGAGTATCTCAAAACAGCACTTATAGAGCTTGCTGGCAAGAGCTGGTCAGGGGTCTTCTGTCAGAATGATTTTCTGTGAGAAAATAGTTTCCATATTTTTCCCTACATGTTTTTGCACCTGAATCACAAGTCTCAGGGCAATTGAAATGTTTAAATTACTTGAAACAAAGAGTTTTGGGTTAGTTCAACAAACCAAAATTAAACATTTAGATTGCAGCAATGTCAGGTTTGTTTGTTTGTTTGTTTGTTTGTTTGTTTTTTGAGCTAATGTTGAAGCAAAACCTTTGACATTTCCAAATGGAAATCTTTTGGAATTTCCATTTCACAGGAAACTTCAAAATAACAATTTTTCAGTTGGTTTGGGACTAAAATCAATATTGAAAAGTCAGCATTTTCCATGGGCTTTTTCAGAACTCAGTTACCAAAGAGATGAGAATGAAGCACTTATGCAGGAATAGTTTCTTTAAAGCGAAACTGGTCCTTCGGGGCAAAGGGAGGCTATGAGAGTGGAAAGGAGTGCTTCTGATGTGCATTCATTCCCAGACCCGTCTGTCTCTGGGAAAGCTCCAATGCACTGAGGGAAGAAAGCCTCCTCACAAATGTAAATTCATAACCACTTATGCAAACTCTACGTGCTTCCATTTAAAAACTTTTTTTCTATAGGCAGACCTAAAATGGGTGATGCTTCAAACGTGGTAGCACTTCTGTTTGAAATGCTGACATTGGTTGAATTCTTCTAGAGCTGCATCACTGTTCTTTCCTGGGGACTGCTTCAGGGGACGTGCTAGGCTCCAGCACTCCCCCCCGCCCCACACTGTCTTGAACTGTTGATTAATAGGGAATATCTTCTGACCAGTCTGGTGACTGGTCAGATGGTCTTGTTAGTTTAATTTCTCCTGTTAGGATCCCTTCCAGTTAACAAATTGCTCTTCAGACCCTTTCGTGGTTCAAGAACGGCTTCCTACAATTGGCTGAGTCTTTCTCTGCTAGCTTCCAAGTCTCATCTGCATTCCCTGTCCCTTATTCGAGGGGCTAGCTGAAGGTGCCCACTTTTGCTGCTCCTGTAGGGGTTGCACTAGCCGTTGCTGCCATGAATAGCAATAGTGCAAGTCAGTATAGAGTCCATCAAACTACTGCACCTGGGAGACACATTATTATGGCCCTGACTCTGTAAAATGTTTCTGTTTGAGAAGCTTACTTGAGTGTTTTCCTGAATTGAGGCCTATGCACCCACTGACTTCTTTTTTAACTGGGGAAGCAGAAGCTATGTGAGGCAAAACTATGCAGTGAGGATTATGAAAAGTGATCCTGGCGTCCATGTGCACAGCTGAAACACAGTATTGATGCAAAAACTGACTCAAACCCAGCACTGGGTAAGAACCTTGGGGAATACCTTAGGCAGGCCAGGCAGTGGGATCTGAAAATCCGCATGCCTGGGCTGGGGTCTTGGCCTAGTAGGGGAAGCAGATATCACAGGCTCTTCAGAGGGGCTGAGCACCCACAGCTCCCACTGGAGTCAGTGAGCTCTGTGAATATTCAGCACTTGGCCAAACTGGAAATAAGGCCAGATAGTAAAGGAAGGAGAAGTGCAGAGGGAGCCCTTCCTGTGCATGAGTTTGTGTGAGCTCTGTTCCACCTCCTCCTTGGCTGGCCTGGTAGGGATTCCCCCAGGAGGGGAAGCTGCAGCAGAAGGATTACCTTCTTCAGGCAGGCTTTCTTAAAGTAACACACACCCAAATTCTACACACGGATGCCCTCCCAAACTCCTGTTGGATTCAGTGGGAGAGGTGCATGCACACACGCTGAGGACAGACAGGATTTAATTGTCCAAAGGCTTATCAGAATGTGAAACAGCCTGTTGTAGTAGTGGCAGCAGTTCATGGAAGGGATGTCTGTTACCCTACTGTCCTGTAACTTATCCTGATAGACTTACAGAGGCCACGAGCCTTGGTGAAACCTACCCCAGTCTCTTTTCTAAGTGTTACTGGATGAAGCATCAGTCAGGGAGGGGACATTTTGTCCATGTATAACTTATATTCAAGAACTTAAGCACAATTGCTGAGGCGGTGTTTGTATATCATAGGATACAGACCCAGCGAGTGTAGCTTAATTCCAGGCACTGATCATCCATAAAGAACTTGGGCTGTGGAGAGCCTTATTCTAAATGCTGATGCAAAGGGCTTGGCTATGCAGGGACTCCCCAAAATTAAGACAAATCAAATGCAAGTATGACGTTAATGGGCGTAAGTGAAGGCACATGAATTCCTGAATGGATGCGCTCATTAAAATGGCCTACATTTGCTGTAGCTTTATCTTCCTTTGAAGACTCTAGAAATAGGAGGATTAAGCTCCAGTAAGGCCACTTTATTCTGAATGGCAGTGTTCACTCAGTGGTTTTGTGTGTTTTAACTGATGTGCATTAACCTCATACCTTTAATCTTAACTTTCCTGAGTGTCCCCATGAAGACAAGCCCTATGTCTTCCCCCCGGCCAGGAACCTCCACTTGGCCTCTGAAGTTTGCAGCTGCAATTTTATATGCCCAAAGTTTCATGCTCCTCTCTTTGGCAAAGCTTCTTGCATGCCCAAAATCTGTGACTTGTGAGTAAATCCGGTAGTTTAAATTTCTGATTTGCATGTGCAAATGCAGCTGGTGTGCACAAATCCAAGTTTTTGCACATGCAAAAACTCGAGCGTAAAATATTGCAGGTGCGGTTTTAGATAATGGGAGTGTGACGACTGTAAAAGCAGCTATATCCTGACGGGCATATATGTCTGTTTAAAACTGGAAGCATGAATACTAGTGTTTTTTCTCTCTGCAGGTAATTGGGAGCTCCCTCCTCTTCATTCATGACCAAAAGGAACAGGCCAAAGTCTGGATGATCGACTTTGGGAAAACCACACCACTGCCAGAGGGACAATTCCTCCAGCACAACGTGCCGTGGGTGGAAGGGAACAGAGAGGACGGCTACCTCTGGGGGCTGGACAACCTCATTGAGATCCTAATGGAATTGTCACAGAGCGAGGACCTGCATTAAAGCCATATGTCCAACTCCACCACTACCCTGCATCCTGTCCCTCAAACTGACTCTTCTGAACTGCACTACAAGACACTTTCCAAACCCCGCCCCCCCGCCCGTGTTAAAGCTATAACTTCCCTATTTAAGGTGGTTTTTAGTTTTTGTACATATGTAGATCACCTGCCAGAACAAACGCTGAACTTGAAGCCTTGGCTTTGCTCAGTAGATGGGAGCAGATCGTGTCGCTCGTCGCAGGCGCCTGAGCAGCGAGCAGCTGTGGTCTGGATGGCAAGGCGAACGCATGCTCTTTCCATAGCATTTCTGGCTCTTAGGCAATCTCTTTTGAACAAGAACTTACGTAGTGAGCAGTTGTGCAGCTGACGTGCCCTCCAGTTGAACGAAGATGGTGTCCGAACCCTGAGTTCTGTTGCTCCTGAACTGTGTAATTAAAGCCCTTCCCGCTAAGTGAATGACAGAATTTATTCAGCTGTAAGGATCATCTGTCCTCTAGTGGCTGGTGTTGGTAACACACCATCCTCAAAGCAGTCAAGGCTTCATAGCTTTTAGGTTGCCATTTTAAGTGTTTTAGGGTTTATGGAATAAGAAAGACACAGATTCTGGAGAAGGTGAAGGCAGGGATACCAGATTGGGAGCGGTTTAGTTACATTTAATAACATCCTTCGTCCTAGGAAGCTAGAGGTTTGGAATCCTTAGGAGATCTAGGTTTCTCTCTCTTCGAGCAACCTTGTTATCCACTTGTGATTGTTCCGTTATTTTCGAGTGGCCATAGAATTGCGAAGTCTGTTCTTGTCAATAACCAAGTGTGGTGTGACTATGGCTCTTACTAACCTATTTGGTGCTGGATGATGAGCTTCCCTCTAACCACTGAGGTGGGCTGGCGTTGTCAGCTGTAGATGTTTACCATGGGCCTGTCTTCAAATTGAAATCGCCTTTGAGCAATTTAGCAGTAGGGCAGTGTGCTGGCAGGTGAAGATCTGAGGCTGATGCTCAGACCTCCTAGGCCAGCACTGACTGGGAATACTATGGAACCAATAGTCTGAACCAAGACAACAAGGAAGAGATTTCTTTTCTGTCTCCAGCGATCCTGCTCCCATTATAGGAGCAACTTCCAGCCCTCCTAAGCTGGGATGGTGGCCTACCATGTGGCTTGAAGCCTAAGATGAGGCTGAAGGAGAGTGAAAGTGGCTATAGGGACCATTGTGAAACTTTAAAAAGGCTTCAGTGTTGGTAGATATCTCCTAGCAATAATCAAGTAAGCTGTCCTCTGCGCTGTGTAAGGCTAATACTGCCAAGTGTGCAAAAGGGGATGGGAACCCCTGGTAAATCTGGATCAGAAGGGAGTTCACAAGAGGAGCGGTCTCCATTATTTTTCAATGCCTTTGAGCGTCTTTTGTAGTATCCTTGTTACAAGCCGTTACGATTGGCAAATGCCAGGCATACTTATGGGTTCTTGTAGAACCAGTCCTGGCTACATCTCAAACAGAATTGCATTAACTGATCTAAAAGGGTTCTTTCATATGTGCAAACAACCTACCCCTAGTGGTGTGCGCTTGAGAGCTCTCATATCTACAGGGGTATATGGAGGGGGTTAGGGCGGGAGGCAGCTCTCAAGGTTATCACCTCAGTTTTACTGGATAAGACACAGGGATTTAAGGCAACCCCCCCCCCCACACACACACACACCCCTTCCTTGTTACCATGTAGCTCACTAAATCCAGCTCTGGTTTTCACAAATTAGTTCCCTAATCTGCTCTGCCTAAATTGGATGTAGACATGGCCTTTCTGCTTCAAGGCTTGTGAAAACAACCAGTTCTCTATTTAGGGTGGAGGCTAATTTTTAACTTCCTGGAACATTTGAACTAAGCAGCACGCTTGCAGCAGAGCTAGCTTGCTAAAGGTCAGCTATTGACGTGGGAGGGGAAGGCCGTTGGTGCCTCTTGCTCTTCCTGGAGAGCTTGGAGTTCTCCAGAACTTAGGTCATAAGGACAGTATTGAGCTTGGGTCATGAACAATCCTGCAGCTTTTTCTCCATGAATAATACCAGCTAGCTAGGAGTCTGGCAGAAGTTATGAACCTTTCTCTCCCCCTCACCCCCCAACTCTGAAAGACCATTGTCTCATCTCTTTCCCCGGTAGCGATGCTATCAGCCCGCTCTGCAATAGTTAGATGGGTGCAACTTTCCTGCGTCAGGAAGGTACCCTCACTGCGGCACTAGGTGTGTGTGTGTGTGCCGGGGGGGCGCGACTCGGCCATCCGTTGTTCCCCAGCCATGCACAAGTCTCTCTCATGGAGATTAAAATCTCGTCAGACTTTCTCAGTTCATATCTCACCAGGCACAGGTCTGTAGTTCTGAGCATACAGTTGTAAATGGTTGCACTGTTCAGCTTTTTGCCCAGGTTTCCTATGCTGCTTAGAGTAGCCCCTGTGGAAGTGCCTTACGAACTTGCCCCTATTCCATTAGTGTCATGGAAAAGGTTTTTAAGTTATATTTATTTTCATTCCTTTTTAATTGCACAAAACACTACGACTTAATGCATGGAATCTTTTTTTTAAAAAATAACCCTGTATTTTTAGTTTTTAAAATGTCCTTTTCCAGCTTTGAGGAAAGGGCTTTGAGCAGCAGACTAGATATGTACCAGTTTTAGCTGTAGTTTAGCTTTGCATTGCTCCTGTATATGTATATTATTTTAAAGTCTGTTTTGTAAACCTGATTCCTTGCTTTGTGGCTTCGAAAGAAGCGGATTGTTTCCCCGGATGTCTTATGCCTTCCTGGAGGCTGGAACTGTTGCTGTGAGGTATTCCTCCCCCCCTCCCCTCAGTCACTGGGTGATGCAGAGTAAATCTGAACTGTACTGAAACACCAACGCACAGTGCCTGTAAAGAGCCTATAACTTCCAAATAAAGGCATATGAAAACCAGCCATGTTTGTTTGCAAAGGGAGTGTTCATTCCAGGTCATCAAACCTTGGAGTAACTCAAGGGTTGGGACCTGTCCTGCGGTGAGCACCCGCTCATTAAGGGCCTGATTCTGTTCCTGGATACACCTGTATCGGGAGTAACACTGGGTGTAAGTAGGAGGAGAACCGGACCCTAAACTGCGGGGTGGGGAAGAGCTTACATTAAAGGGAAATCAGACTCCATCTGGGAGGCAAACCAAAGCCAAACCTGTAGGGATCTTGGCTGCCAGATGTCTGTGGTTGTGGGGATTAGAGCTTTCATCGCCTGCGGTCAGGGACAATGGCTACTGCACTCACAACCTCCCAGCACTGTTTGTCTGGAAAAATCCTAATCAAAGGAACTGCCACTCGAGCTGTTTCCCAATGTGTTGCAGCTCCTGTCAAGCCCCTCTTTATACCCTTGTCTCTGATCTCTGCTTTGGACAAGGAGAAACCATGGATAACCAAGCGCTCCTTTGTAGACCACATACTCTAACATGTTCACATCTGTCTGTCCTCTCACTTCCCCTCTGTACATACGCACACAACCCATTTGCAGTAGGTAAGCAGAACTAGCCTCACTGTGTTGACGAGACACCAGTGATCAGGGTCTCCCAGGCGGTCAGCATTGGGAGAAGGATGATTGCCCAGTCTCCTGACTCCTAGCTCCAACCTCAATCCATTAGATCACCATGCCCTTACACAAACCCCTTAGACCTTCTCTTTCCCCATCTATGCAATAGTGGTAAAAATACTGTTGCTCTGCCAAGTGCTCCCACTGGAGGAGAAATCAGTGATGTAGAATCTGGGTATCCTTAGTACAACTTGTTTGATATACACCAGTCCTTGAACAGAGGTGATCATAAACAGCATGCAGGCAGTTGCCTTTTAGGGCTCTTGGCCAAAACACCAATACTCAGTTCCCTGAGAGCAATTCTGCCTCAAGGACTGACTCTAGTTCGAAACACTGAGAGCTCAAACTCCCTTGCAGCTTGCCAAGGTCCCCAAAAGAAATTGTATCAGAAAATTAACACAGCATTTATTTCAACAACTGCAAACTTGTTTGCATGCTAAGAAGAAACTTGTAAGACTGTGTAACACACCATATAGTGAACTCTGGAATAACAATACTTAACTACATCATGCAGGCCCTGAGAATTACTAACATATCAGTATTGCCAACTCTTTAGCACAAGTCTGGGGATATTAAATACTCTATTTATAACCATAGCTCCTGGAGACAGGTGAAAATCTCAGCTTTCATTTTAAAAAAAGTTTCTAGACCTCATAGTTGTAGAGAGGAGCTTGGAAATGGATGTGAAGTGCACCTTAAAGGCTCAAACCAGATGGCAAATAAAAAACCTTAAATCAATATTTTACTACATCATGAGAGATTTTTCCATCATGCTTGTTTTAAAGGAGGGGAGGGGTTGACTCAGGTTGGATTGGCAATGCTGGAAGTTGAACATGCAAAGTGCTACGTACAAATCTGATGCTGCAATTTTGAGCAGGCGGCAGCTGGAGGGCAGAAAACATGCCTACCTGTAGTCTGCTTCGATCCTCTGCATTCTCCAAAGGGACGTTCCAGCCCTCTGAGTCTCTCAAATCTCCAACCTGCCTGAACACCTCATGCACCTTGTTAAATTGTGGCCGAGTATACTGGAAGACTTATCGAGTAAGTTCCTGCAAACTGAGGGTATTGCTCTACATTTCCATTAACAGGCAAATTTTACAGTTGCTCTTAACCCCCCTCCCTAGTTAGAAAGCTGAAACAAATGGTTTTTAAACCCCTCCTCCCAGTTCTTGAACAGTCCTGAGGTTGGCACCAGGCACTCATTCAGAGTGTAAGAGAGAAGGGGGAGAAGATAGAAGGTTAGCCTGTGATATATGTTAAAATCTTGTGAGAATACGAGTGCTGCGCTAAGTGATATAACTCTCCCCCGCCCCCCAGTGGAAATGCAGAGCTTATTTGTATTGGGCTGCCTTTGTCTGAGCCTTGAGTCAGGCTAACTCTGAAAGCTGAGAGTGTAGAATGGCCTAGAGAGCCCTGACTCTCTTGGTCAACAGCATCTTACTTGGAAATTGAAGCTGACAAGGTGATGTTTAGCTTGTCACTTGTAATTACCCATGGAGCAACCAGCTGCTCCAGCATCTCTGCTCACACTGACTCCCAAGTGCAGATTCCTCAGGGGCTGGTGTGTAGACATGACTGTCGAAGCAGTGTGGCATAGAGGCACCCCATGCCTTGGTTGAGGCGTGAGCTACAGTGCCTTTAATGCTTTCACTCAAGCCACTGTTAAATGAAATGTCATCAGTCACTTGTGTCTCCGGCACAGCTGCTGTACCTGGCAAGGAATGGCACTGTGCAGCCTGTAATCACTCTTATCCTGGAAACCCCTCTCCCTTTGGCGTGTGGCTGGAGTGGGGAGATGGGCACTCTGATGGCTTGTCAGTAGTGCCGTGAACGCAGGCATCACACTGCCATCGGAAAGCACTGGGCCTTGACTTTGCTTTTCAGAAGGGCTGAGTGCTGGCAGCTCCTAGGCACACGCAAGCACAGAGAAAGGAACGGGTGTAAGCAGAGTCAGGATGAGCTCTACCCTGACATCTGGTGGTGAATTATGGCGAGTGTGGAAAAGAACTCCAGGAGCTAATCTTGTTTGCATAGGCACACCCACTCGCCTGGCATGAAACAACAGCAACTGAAAGTGGTTACTTTGGCTGGTGTGGGATCCCCAGTTTCTCTATTATTGGGGCAGGAAGAATAAAGTTTTGTTACCCTGATTCTGTGAATCAAGGCCAGTGGAACTGTTGTATGACAGAAGGACTGAGTGAGTCCTTCACCCTCACCTAAGTAGCACTTGCTTGACAAGGGGCATGGGTTACAAAACCCAGTGAATGGAGAGAGGATGGGGACAGGTATTTGTACTTGATGGTATGGCCCCCCTCTGAGGGTTTGAAACACCAATTGCACTACCTTCTCTCTCCCCTGCTGAATGTCAGAGCTAACTTTGATTCCATTAGGAGTCTAGTTACAGGCTGCTGAGCTGAATTCACTTTGGGCCAATGGTGCACCAGCACTGGGGCTCCCCTACTATACTATGAGCTGAAATTGCTAAGAGCTGAAATCACAAAAGAGCTAAAGTTATTAAGAGCTGAGATCACTGAGTGCTGTGTTAACTAGTGGGGGAGCCTGAAGTTATATTGCTCAGCAGCTGGCGGAGCAATTTGTGGGGATGACTGGAGGAGCAGCAAGCAGGGCGGAGCCTTGCGGGGCCGGTTGGAGTGGCCCAAGGAACAGCGAGCGGAGCTGTTTGCGGGGACGGCTGGAACGGCTCACAGGTCGGTGAGCGGAGCGGAGCAGCTTGTAGAGCGGAGCAGTTCGTGGGATGGTAGGAAAGTGGACTGGCTCGTGGTGAAGGCTGCGCCGGAACCCACACGGAGAAAACAGACGGCTGGCCAGCCTCGGATCACGTAAGGTGCCCCTTAACACCCTGCGTGCCCCCCCCCTTTACTCTGGGGCTGCACTGACCAGGGACAGAGACTTTGGGGGTTGTTGGACTTTTGGGACTTTGGGTGGTTGCTGGACCCAAGAGGGGGTGTTGGACTTTGGGAACTCTGGGTGATTTTTTGGGTTGCTGGATTCCAGAGCCAAAGGGAAAGGACACAGCCCAATTTGCTGGGGTGGGTTTTGCTCATGGTTTGTGTTATGAACCCTGTTTGTGGTGTTTTTCCAATTTTGTGCTAATGTCGTTTACCTCATGTTATTAAACATTTTCTGCTACACTCAGACTCCGTGCTTGCGAGAGGGGAAGTATTGCCTCTTAGAGGTACCCAGGGGGGTGGTATGTAATTGTCCCAGGTCACTGGGTGGGGGCTTGAGCCGGTTTTGCATTGCGTTATTGAAACGGAACCCCTAGATACAGAACCCGGCCCTTGTTGCTGCCAACTTAGATGGGCAGAAGGGTTACACGGGGGTAAAGTGCGGGTCTGACCAGATTTGGGTAGTGGCCCCACCCAAAAGCCTTCAGCCATAGCAAGGAAGAAAACACCCTTAGGGTATGTCTACACTACGAGGGTAGTTCGATTTCACTTAAATCGAATATGTGGAATCGATATTGCAAAGTTGAACGTGTGTGTCCACACTAAGGACAGTAATTCGACTTTGTGAGTTCACACTAACGGGGCAAGCGTCGACATTGGAAGCGGTGCACTGTGGGCAGCTATCCCACAGTTCCCGCAGTCCTCGCTGCCCATTGGAATTCTGGGTCGAGCCTCCAATGCCTTCTGGGTAAAAAAAATGTGTCGAGGGTGCTTTTGGGTAAGTGTCGTCATCCGTCTGTCACTACCGCCCTCCCTCCCTGAAAGCGCCGGCGGGAAATCAGTTTGCGCACTTTTCTGGTCAGTGACAGCGCGGACGCCACAGCACTGCTATCATGGAGCCCGCTGCGACCATCGCTGCAGTTGTGGCCGTTGTCAACGCCTCGCAGCTTCTCATCCACCTTTCCCAGAGGCAGATACAGAGAAATCAGGCGAGGAGGCTACGGCACCGCGGTGAGGGCCTGAAGTATGAGAGGAGCACAGAGCTGTCAGAAACCACGAGACCCAGCGCCGAGGACATCACGGTGGCAATGGGTCATGTGGATATTGTGGAACGGCGATTCTGGGCCCGGGAAACAAGCACGGACTGGTGGGACCGCATAGTGCTGCAGGTCTGGGATGAATCTCAGTGGCTGCGAAACTTTCGCATGCGGAAGGGGACTTTCCTCGAACTTTGTGAGTTGCTGTCCCCTGCCCTGAAGCGCAATGACACCCGGATGCGAGCAGCCCTGACTGTCCAGAAGCGAGTGGCCATAGCCCTCTGGAAGCTTGCAACGCCGGACAGCTACCGGTCAGTCGCGAACCACTTTGGTGTGGGCAAATCTACCGTGGGGGTTGTTGTGATGCAAGTAGCCAACGCAATCGTTGAGGTACTGCTCTCAA